AAAAAAAAAAAAAAACACGAATACAGGATATTAATAAGATGTTAATAAGAGACGCTATATATATCTCGACGTAAGTAAGATGGGATTTATTATCTGATAATAAGTACGAGCAAACTCTGGAAACACATTGATTACGAACTTGGATCAAGAGATTAGCCGGCAATGATGAGTTAGCTGCTGGCATTGCCTAAAGATATGAGATGTCTATCTATATCTGCGCATTATTAGGTTGATATAGAGAGGGATGAGAGAAAAAGAGACAGGTAAGGAGGATAGAACAAACTGTTTTAAGCCTCATTTTATCGCTATAAAGAAACTTTTCCGCAATTTGCCACAGTTTTAATAAAGTTTCAATCATGAAAGTCGTAATTTTATAGCACTTTTGAATGCCTCCTAATGACGAACACGATGTTTATTGACACGACATTGAAAAAGTCACGTTGGATTCAAGATGAGAAATGGCATTGCGGATATATTTAAGAGAAAATTTTCTAAAAATAAATGCTTATTTTTTACGAGGAATATATTGCATCTCTGATTCTTTGAATACGTATAATTACTTATTTTATATAATACATAGAGTGTGTTTATTTTTAGTATTTATATGAGATTTTCGCAAATACTATAGCGTTTACTAATACAATATATATTACGTAATTTTTCTAACAATTGATGTACGCTTATTTTGTCATCGTAATAATCACTAGAAGGCGTTTCTTTCGCAAAGTTTTACGAATTATGGTTTAAATATAAAGCTGCATTAAAAATTGCGCGTGTGTGCATATATATTTGTGACATTAACATTCTCTTTTGGAGGAAAAATACACATTTCTTTTCTCTATCGTCTTTCCCATGTCATGTAAATCCCAACAACGAGAATTTCGAATTCCCGCATCGTTTTATGAGAGCATTAAAAGCAACGAGAAAAATGCTGCAAACCACGTTTGTTAGTGCATCGTGAAAACTTGTGCCCAGCTTCCCGGATGAAAATGCAATTTCTGCATTTCCTGGAAGGCGGAAGGGACCGGTGGAATGTGCGTAGGATTCCAGATAATGACGCAGTGGCACTACGTGGCACAATTTCATGAAAATGCGTACCGCACACAATGCAGATAAGCATGCAGTGCAACCGCGTGTGTGGTCAAGTGTACGATCGGGGATTGTATCGTGCAGTGACCGCACTAAAATCGAAATGAGACAAGAATGTTAAAGCCGTTTGATTTAATCTAACGCGACGCGATTGAAAAATACTTAATCGACATCCCCTTGAACGTGACATTTTATAGATTGTATCTCAAAAATCTTTGGCGCAATTTTTTGTATTGCTTAGACTGCAAACATAATCTAGAAATTATTATAAATATCGTGACTCTGTGATACAGTCTACATTGTGTCTCTTCATA